ATAGATTGTGGAGAAAAAAATTGTCTACCACGGCACAGTGAACAAACTTTCCTAGCAGCAGGCCCAGCAATTAATTCAATTACACACACACACAAACACACACACACATATATATATATATAAATTTCCGGTGAACAGTGGCCGACCACAACTAAAAGTTTCATGCGTTCTTAAGCAATCAGCCTATTTTAAACGAATTAATGGATTTTATTTTTTAATCGGACATATTTTTAGTGGATACCCGTATTTGGGCAGATAGTCCGTTTGTTTTAAACAATATTTATTGCCTCTGCCAGCCAGCATGCTCGCGAAAATTTATTTAACAAAATGTGCCCTCCGATAGGATTCGAAACTAGTTTGTGAAGCTCTTAGGAAGCGAACGATCAAAGCACTTCTGATCAGATGATGGTACTTCTGCAAAAGGAGACGCAACTCCGAATCCCGCCGGAGAGTATTCTTACTTTAATCATATATATATATATGTGTGTGTGTGTGTGTGTGTTATTCATTGAATACGACAGATGAGGTGCTTTGATTTAGTTTTTTATACAATTTCTCATGTGATCTAATTTTTTTTCTTTTAATTGATAAATTATATAAAAAACTGTCCGAATGTTCTTTTTATCCGAGCGCTTTCGGCTATACATTTAGCCATTTTCAAGGTTGAAACATTAACTGTTAAGAAGAAATAGTTTGATGTATATATGAATTTATATAATGTTTTAATTTCCAAAACACAGTCAAAATATTGTGTCCATGTTCATAGCTGATATTATTGAGAGTCGATTTTTATTGTTTTTATTAATAAGGCTTCCATTATTTTTAGCTTTTTTTTGCATGTAGATGATGTTATTATATTTGTGTTGTTACGAATACGAGTAGGTCTCGATGCATATTTAGATGAGATCTAATTGATCTATGGTCAGAAAGGTATCGATTGAGTCTTCGTGTCAAATATGTAGTATGGATTATATAATTAATTTACGAATTTTGACTGATCAGGAATACTATTCCTTAATGCACATTTAAATTCGTAAATAATAATTGTCGTATTTAATTTTGTTCTAAGAGGTGAATTATTACTTTTAGTTGTTTTAAAATTTTGTAATAAACAATTAAACTAATTCTACATACGTCTTGTTTATAATTTTCGTTCATTTGATCTTTATAAAAATATTAATGTTATTCCTTATGTTATTAGATCACATGAGAAATTGTATAAAAAAACTAATTTAAAGCACCTTGTCTGTCGTATTGTATGAAATGTAACTGAAAGAAGGATTGCTGCCTATATATATATATATATATATATATATATATATATATATATATATATATATATATATATATATATATATACCAGTATATAACCTTATATTTGTCCAAATCGTTTAACAGCTTAATTCTCCATCCCAGAAAATGTTTAATACCTCAAAAACACTAAACTAATTGACTTTCTTTTCTCCGGGTTTTCAGATAAGACGTTTAACCCTCTTGACTCCAATTGTCGTAAGAGTCATGGAAAAATCCTTTGGGTTATTCAGTTAGAAAGAGAAGAGGTTAACATCGTTTTGTGTCAGACCCAATGTCTTCCCAACTTAGCAATGGTGAGAGGAAAAATGATCATTCAGTCCTTCAGTAATGGTACGTTTATACTCTGGCTTCCATTTTCAAATCCCTTCAAGAACCATCAAGAGAACGGTGAATAGGTTTAAAAAAGAGGGATCAGTATAGTGGAAAACTAGATTAGGAGATCACATCGAGAAATCATTATTTCAACTTAGAGGTAAAGAAATAATTAGAAAAGATCCAACTCAATTCATAAGAGCTTTAGCACGTGAGAGAGGACTTTCAGCTATGCAGGCCAAAGCGTAGTGAAAAAAAACTTGAAAATGAAATCGTACGTGAAACCTGTGAGGCACCTTGTTACTCCAGGACAGAAAATTAGAAGGTTAGAGAGGGCGTAGATTATCTTGAATACGTTGGAAAATGATCCAGAAATAATATATATATATATATATATATATATATATATATATATATATATTTGAATTTTATTTCAATCCTTTATGGGCTTCCAATTATGTCTAATGCTTAATTAATAGTGAACATATTTTCTTTTATGACCAATGTCATCATTATTCTTCTGTTAATTTTGGAGAGTAATTATACATTTTTATTGCTCAAAGTAGAGTCGAATTGTGTTATAAAAAACTCGGAGAATTCTAGTAAGATATTTTAAATCATTTCTAAGTTCATCGATTTGGACAATTTTGCTGTTACACACACACACACACGCACATACACACACACATATATATATATATGATGTCTTTTATGACGTTATGATGTGAATAATTAACTTTCTGTCTTTAAAGTTATCTCTTTGATAGTTCAGCTTATTGCTTTTGATGGAAACATACCGAAAAGCAATGATTGATAGCATTTCATTGGTAGATAGATAGAATGATTGTCCAATAGACAGGAACGAATAAAGCATGAGATGACAAGAACGCGACACATAGATGAACAGATAAACTCATTAGAATGTATTAAATATACATAGAGATTTAACCATTCAGAAATATTTCGTTCGTCAAATACATCAAAGATGGTAGTGTGTATCAGTTCTATTTATTGCATTACAGCTCTAATACATTTCGTAAGTTTTAGAGAATCGAAAATAACCACCAAACATTCAAGAGGAATACTTAACGACAATAAATAAACCAATTTAAAAAAGAAGGTAAAAAAATCAAGTACAAAGTAATAGATAAAATGAAATTTAAAAACGTTTCTTTGCCTCATCCATTTCGAGATCACAAATCAGATAAACATTCTCAACCTTATGTCGGGGTCGTGAATTTTGTGAGTTGCTCAGCAATAAAAGCAGACGAATAGCAAGAACTTGCGGGCGCAGCGCCGGTTGGGGTACTTCCTGCTTCTGCCGGAATTAGAAATCTCAGGGCGAACTTTCCGAGGGTAACCCACCCTGGAGCTGAGGTGTTGTGAGATGATTTCCCTGGCGGTGCTAATGGATGGTTATCGATTTGATCTTTTGTTCTCGACTCTGTGGGCGGGCTCAGCTGTCGGAACCCCAGATCAGGATTTGGAGCGCTATTTTTGACATTTCATGACGACTGCACGCATCGTTTCGTTTACTTTTCTGTCATTGTTTCTTTCTTTCTTTCGTTTCCGCTTCTTTTTTTCTTTGTTTTTTTTCCCGTTATTTCCAGCATCAGCTTTTGCATTTTCCCACCATTGTTTTTTTGTCTTTTCGTTTTTTTTCTTTTAGCTTAAGTTATGTGTTTTAGTTTTAAGACTTGTGTTTCAGCTCGAAAAACAACAAATACTTTTTTAACAAGTTATAAACGAGACTGTCATAAAAATGCTATAAATGGACTTTTGAAATTTTTACAAAGAACTCTATATATACATACATACATACACACACACACATATATATATATATTTTCAAAAGAGTAACATGAATATATATATATATATATATATATATATATATATATATATATATATATATATATATATTATTACCTGCGAAAGTTCCTTGTAATTTAGTTTATTTTTCCTGTTAATGAGCATGATTATTTACTTGAAACATGTTCATATTTGAAATTATATTTCCTTTGTTTAATTTTCAAATATGAATCTGATATTAAGAAAATATGAACTTGATTTATATTAAGAAAATATGAACCTGATATCAAGCAAATAATCTAAAATAATCTAAAAATTTAATATAAAAATATTAACAATTAAATGATTTTGTTGGTATATATATATAGTGTAACCCGGATATAAGAGAGTTGTCGGGAACGGAAAAGTCTCTTATAACCGGGTTTCTCTTATAACCGGGTTCGGTCTATTTTGTTTAGGTAAGTATGGGAACACTTTGGGACGAGAGAAAATCTCTCTTATATCCGGGTTTCTCTTATATCCGGGTCTCTTATATCCGGGTTACTCACACACACACACACACACACACACACACACATATATATATATATATATATATATATATATATATATATAGGGAAAAGGTTATAATCGTTCTCACGAGAGAAGAAATGTATATTATTGACACAAAGAGAGAGACCGCAAACGTTTTTGGTTATAATGTGGATTTGTTTTAGTATATATATTATAACTTATTTATTTATTTATTGTTTTAGTGTATAAATTATATTTTATTCTACACACGAAAAAAAAAATATAATATATGTACTAAAACAAATCCACATTATAACCAAAAAACGTTTGCAGTTTCTCTCCTTTATAGATAGATAGATAGATAGATAGATAGATATTGTGTCTACTTAATTTTATACTGATCCGTTCCAGTTTTTTAATCATTTGTTGATGTTAAGATTAAATTCATCAAGGAGGGCACCGTAGTTTTTATTTTTTTTTATTTTTTTTAAACCCAGACACTTTCGATATTTTCAAAGACCATCGGGACGAAATTACAAAGACAAACTTATTGTAACTACGATAAAATCTTCATACCGCTGTGATGGAGATTTTCAAAAACACTCGCGATCGCACTCTGTAACAACTACTTTTAAATATCCATCCATCGCAGTTATAGAATAAGTTTGTCCCCTGAAGATAATCTTAGAAAAGATCGAAAGCACTAGGGTTAAACAAAAATTACGGTGCCTCCCTTGATGAATTCCATGTAAAGGATCAATATAAAAATAAGTAGACACAATATATCTGTATCATACTATGAAGACATACTCCCGAAAAATATAAAGAGACTTACACTACATATGTCGGATTCAAGCTCTATCGCGCACAACTTAAAGAAACATTCCTGACTACATTCACAAATTTAAAATTTCGTTATATTTAAAGATAATTAGATTTAAACACCGCACTTAAACGTCATGGTATACCAACGGAATATTCATGATTAAAATATTAGTCTAGCAAATACCGTTTTAATAATATATATATATATATATATATATATATATATATATATATATATATATATATATATGTGTGTGTGTGTGTGTGTGTATATATATATATGTGTGTGTGTGTGTGCCTGTACATGTGTGTTATACATATATATATATATATATATATATATATATATATATATATATATATATATATATATATATATATATATATATATGGTGTATTCATACATGCATATATATATATATATATATATGCATTGTGTGCGCGTGCATGCATGCGTGCTCATATGGGATAGATAAGTCGAAGGAGAGAAACAGTGTGGCTATAGATGACAACCCTGCATGGAGACTGTCAGCTTTACACCTCAAGAACTGCGAACTGCCATACATATATATATATATATATATATATATATATATATATATATATATATATATATATATATAATAAGTAATTCGTCGTGTCTGAAAGAAAACTCAACAGAATACAGAAGGCACTGGACGGCCGTTTTCTTTATATATATTTATATATATATATATATATATATATATATATATATATATATATATATATATATATATTCAAACGTTTTAAAAGACGTCCCCATGTAAGCCTCTCTTTTGATATTAGTATCACTTTTTTTGTTCGGACATTGTCGGCATGGAAAGCAGAAAAAGACACTGTCAAAATAATAGAAATAAAAACGTTACTAATATATATATATATATATATATATATATATATATATATATATATATATATATATATATATATGTGTGTGTGTGTGTATGAATGCACACCCACTTACATATGCACACACACACTCACACAGACACACACACACAGACATATATATATATATATATATATATATATATATATATATATATATATATTTTTTATAAATAGTTACGTAATAGTGTTATGTTCTTTGAAATATAGCCACTAAATACACAGTAGAAATTGTTTCTTTTTCAAATTTTGTTTTAATAAAATCAAACACTTTTGCACACTGGTAATGTTTAATAATTTATTTCTCCCTCCAAAGATTCCATATTCTACTAAATTTAATTTGGTGGTTGAATTATAGACCTATTTTCTAGACGCGAAATTTCGAATAGCTGTGAATGTGAAATAAAGATCACAGAAGACATTTCTGAAAATAATCCTTATGCTTAGAAAGTAGATATTAGAATTTAAGTTAAAAACATTACTCGAGTGTCCTGTGTAACATGATTCAGTAGTTACAAGCGCTAATAAATGTCTCCTATTTTCTGTGGTTAGATAACTTGGAAAATATACATCGCCTCCCCATGAGAGTTAATTGTGACACAAAATCAAGTTTTCTATGGAGCCGCGTAGGTAGACCAATTTTGTGCGCTTCCTTCAGCATTTGGCTTTTAGCACGCCAGAGGGTTTAGGGATTAAACCTGACACTGAATCTCTTAGTCCAGTGGTAGGGTTGGGGTTACAGACTCAGTGGGAGCGGAGCCTGTGAAAGGAGGCATTAAGCTTTTTGTTGCTGTTCCCCAAGGAAAATGTAGAATTAACGTTTACGAGATCTGAAATTCCCAAAAGACATCAGATGTGACAGGCAAAGAAATGAAAACGACGGATAAAAAAAAAAAAAAATGAAGTTATTCGAAGAGGATTGCCAAATACGATAGATATTCGAATGAGGGCTGGAAGATGCAGCGGCCGAAAGGTAACAGAATCGAAACCGGGCATTGAACAAATGTATAATAATCAAAATATATAGTTTTCAGAATATCTGCACACTCTGTGAGCTTTTTATTATGCAAAACAATGTTTGCACAATAAAATTAGTGTTAACCAACTGTTATGTAGAAATAAAGTGTCGCTGCCGACACTTGAGTTTGAACATAGATCGCCAGAGTGCAAACACAGAATTAGGTAGAGCGCCTGACCATAGTGGAAACACATATATGGTAGGTAGCCTGTGTCTAACTGATCTCTATTTCTAGTCTATTCTCTATACTATACGGATCGCTATATCTTCTCTATCCTCTATTACTATACGGATTGCTATTCTCCACTCTATTCACTATGCTATTTCTCTATTCGGATCGCTATACGGATTACTATTCGAGCGAGTATTATCGAACAAATACAACTAGTGCGAGTGCTATTCGAAAGCGTCTGGCACCAGTATTGTTCAACGGCGTTACTATAGTTGTATCTGCGCCTACTAAGTCTCTACTACAACGAGCATTAGGAAAGTGACATCGAGTATTCGTTGACACCACAAAAATGAGCATATTTTGTATACATTTCTTGTGTCGGATGATGTGTTATTGTGCCAGTTACATTTTTAGCCGAAGGCATAGCTGAATTCTTCTTCAAATTCTTTTTTTTTTAAGCGTTTCGCCCCAAGCAAGGCGGGAAGCCACTAGGACGCAAGGGGTTACAAAAGATTTGAAGCAAGATCAGATAGGAGTGATAGAAGAAAGGATGAGGAGAAGGGTAGTGAATAGATCAAAGCAACTGGAGATGTCGATTGACATTACATTTGAATAGCTGGAGATT